ATTGTGTTAGACGAACTAAGATACTCGCACTTATTGCAACACATATCACGAGCGTAAAACCCATAAATGGTAAAAAAAAATAGAAGACAATACATGGTAAAAATCAGAAGACATAAAGTATGAAAACCCATGATGGCAATGCTACATCAATAGTTACAAATGTTCCATATTCATTCATTACAATCAAATGATAACACATGAAATCAGTATATTTGACGATCATGGTCGCGTCTAAAAAAGGTAATACTCACACCATTGTGTTAGACGAATTAAGATACTCACACTTGTTACAACATATATCATAAGCGCAAAACCAAGAAATGATAAAAATAGAAGATAGAAATATGGAAACTCGTGATGGAAACGCTACATCAGTAGTTATAAACGTTATACATTCACTCATTATAATCAAACGACAACAAACAAAATTAGTAGAACCAACAATCCTGATTACATCTAAAAGGTAATACTCACATCAGTGTTAGACGAATCACAATACTTCCGCTTTTTACAATACATATCATGAGCGTGTGAAAATAACAACATGAAATTCGACAAAATTTAACTTCCACATTATGCTCGATTTTCATGTTTAAGAGGCCAATAGTACCAAAACAGTATTACACCTTACCTCGAAAAAATTCCATCTCACATTTCCCAACGTTTCAAATTTTAATGTAAGAACCATTACCTATAAAATATCTAAGGGTCTGTGTAACCTGTGTAGTGGTATGATTCTAAGAATCCTAACCAAAATATATCCTGAACTATCGACCATTAAATTCTAGAACTAAAAGTAGGGAAGATGCAGAAAAGCAAGACCCAATAATACACTATCAGAGGTGGTCACCTCAACGTATTTGGATGACACAACATAATCATTTATCCCAAGAAAATCCTTATAAACTAATAGGGTTATTAGTTGATGTTTAGAAGCACTGATGTGGTCACGTTGTTTAAAGCTATGTGGAACACATTCAAAATAGGTAGGTGTCACCGCTTATCTTATAGTTGTCATAACAACAAACTTATACTTGTTCACTAATGATCCTTAAGACCATCTTAGTAAAAATAAAAATTATATGAATCACATACGAGTCCGATTAATCTATAAATAATAGACTCACCTTTGATATAATCACACAATTAACGCACATACTTCCCATCTACCCATATTTCGCCTTACTTTAACTTCAAAATGTCTTTATAAGTACATTCTCATCACTCAAAAAATGAAGATTAAAAATAAATAAATAAGGGAAAAGATCAAAACACCCCAACAAATAATACATTTACCAAATTCATATATATAATATACTCGTGTGATCATACTATTAAATCCATAAATAAACACTAATGTAATTTAAGTGTCATAATATTAAAGAAAATGTGAGATCATAAAAATTATTAAAGGTAAAAACATAAGGGAATCTCTTAATGCTCCTTATGAGATGCAAAAGAACCCTATGCAAATTTTAAAATACCCTTATGTTTTTGGAAAATACATTTCTGGACGCACCTTATACACATACAATTTGTTTGTTTTTGAGTTATGTTCCAATTTTACGATTAAATTTATTATAGAAATACATTTTTGGAATGTCTTCGAAAATACATTTTTGAAATCTAGGGTTACTAAAAGGCCAAATTTTGCTAAATATTGTTCTTTAGATTGTTGCTCAAAACAAAGTTTCAACGTCTTGCAGTTGTAGATGCCGAGGGTAGATTGGTAAAAAAAATCTTCTCACCTATTTATAGTTGATTTCTTCTTCCTTGTTTTCATATTTGTAATGGTTATTGTGTTTTAATGTGATATTAAGAAATTTCTTCTCAAGAAATTTCCAAAAATAAGTTTCCATAGTTTTTAAGATAAGACCAAACATTTGATTTTATAATGAAACAATAAAAGTTAATTTTAGATTAAATAAAAAAAAGATGAAAAAAAGCATTAAAGCAATTAAATTACTTGTCATGAGTTGTCCACAAATTGAGGCTTCTACCCAAATCCCAAGCATTTCTCAACAATAAGAGAGATTTCTTTCCCTTTGCTTCTAGGGATTCTCTTATCTCTCTTCTCACCCTTTCGGTAAGCAATCCCTTTTTCATTCTTACGTTTCCTTCCCTTTCCTTTCAATTTCTCTTCCTTCGTTCCATCGCCGATCGCTAACCCTAATCCTGTCGCAGAATCATCATCATGGCTAAGAGTTCCTTCAAGATGGAACATCCCCTTGGTTAATTTCTCCCCCTTTTTCTCTTCCTTTTGATTATTTTTTCGCTGATTTTCATTTTCTTTCAATTTTCGGTTAATAGGGTTTGAATTTCATGTGATTAGAGATATTTTAGATATCTTATTTGTTTAATTTAATAGCTTAATTGGATCTTTTTCATCACGATCGTTATCCGAAACCCTATTTCTTTGAGTTTGAAATTTGGGTTAAAAAACATGTAATTTGATTTCTACTGTAAATTTTATGTGCTAGAGAGGAGGCAGGCTGAGGCAGCTCGCATAAGAGAGAAGTATCCTGATAGAATTCCAGTAAGATTATTTTTATACCTTGATTTGTAGTTTTGGCATGGCGATCGCAATTTTGTAGTAATTGTTTGATTGCTTTTTTTGTGTGTAGGTAATTGTTGAAAGGGCTGAGAAGAGTGATGTTCCAGATATTGATAAGAAAAAGTTAGTTTTCTTTTTTTTCTTCCTAATCTGGGTTGCTGTTCTAATGATTATGAAAAGCCAATCACTAAATTAATTGGTGAATTAAAAAGGATTCTGCTAAGCCCAAGTTGTATTATAGTAGATACTTTTATGGTTTCATTTATGTGAAATCCAACTAATACATTTGATCAACCACAAAAGAGGGATTTTAGTAGGCCTCGGTCATAACAATTGAGAGTAAATGTTGAATCTTGAAATCATGTGTTGAAAACATGGATTAAAATTACTCTGCACTCTTTGTTATGTTTGTTACACATGCTTGTGATTTCTTGTCCTTCAACAATTTTTTGGGTTAGTTGGATAGCCTTGAACCTTCATTACTTCATTTTAAAAATATTTGATTGGACTTTTGGAGGTTAAATGATTCTCCCGTGTCCTCATCACACACACCCTCCTAAAGCTAAAGGGAAAATGGGTTTTGTAAAATTCTCTTTGAATGTCTATATATATTTCTAATTTACGATACTAATTTGCGGTATATTTTACTCTTGCCTTTTTATGATTCTAGGTATCTGGTTCCCGCTGATCTAACTGTGGGCCAGTTTGTGTATGTGGTGCGAAAAAGAATTAAACTGAGTCCTGAAAAGGCCATCTTCATTTTTGTGAAGAACATTTTACCACCAACAGGTAATATATATATATGAATTGTAGTTGCTGATACTTGACGGTAATTTTTGTTTTGTTTTGTTTTGTTTTGAAAAAGTTTATCCTTGGTGGTAATTAATTGTGAGTTGATTTTTTTATCTATCTTGATGCAGCTGCAATGATGTCTGCAATTTATGAGGAAAACAAGGATGAAGATGGATTCCTGTATATGACTTACAGCGGAGAGAACACTTTTGGGATGCAAATGTGATATATTCACAAGGGGCGACCATGTAAATAGAACATAAAAGCATCTTATTGTGAAATAGTCAAGCTTTCTGATCCATGGCAATCCTTATCTAATCTGCAACTAGTTGATAATGACTTTTATGTTTCTATTACATTTCAAATCAATGAAGTTAATATTTTTTTCGTTATTAGATGCCTTGTGTCTCATGCCAAAATCTGGACACCTAGTTTTTATGTGTCTCATGCCAAAATCTGGAAACCTAGTTTTTATTTATATAATTATTGTATTCTTTTGTATGTCGTATACATTTTTTTACGAATAAAGTAAATGTTACTATCAAATAGTATTGATTAGCAAATACAACTTTTGTTATGATTAAGAAACTAATATAATTTTATGAACATAATGCATCCATGGTTTTCTTTGGTGCATATGCAAAAAGAGGAAAAACAAAAAGAAGGAACCAAACTACTACTGGCGAGGATAGATGATCCTCGTTGGATCACTAGGAAAAAAATCATAGATGATCCTCATTAATCATTTAACCTAGCTGGAGGCGAGTGCCAAATCTGAGCGCATTCTATATTCAAATTTGTAGTGTTTTCCAACTGCAGAGGCCATTGCAAGTAGAATGTTTTCATTGCAATAGATAAGATTTAGTCCAGGGAAGCGAATCCAAATATGAGTTCTATAAGATTTAGTCCAGGGAAGCTAATCAAATAAGAGTTCTATCTATCTTGCATCTCAAGCTTCAAAACAAGGAAACCATGGTCATTGTCTCATATCAAATCCTCCTACGAGTTCTCATATTTTAAGCAACCTATCCTTCATGACTTGTATCACAAGCTTTTTCCCAGCTACTTCACCATTATAGCATCCTTTCACGTTGAGCACATGCCTCAAAAATCACTTTCATCAAGATGCACTCTTGGTAGTAACCATTTTCTCTCTTCATGATCAAGGTAAACTAATTTTTGAGGTATAAGATCAACGTTTTCTCTTGTAATAGCCACAATTTCACTTACAACAATGAACACATCTCAGAAATGATATACATTGACCTTCTCCTCCACAACTGTCATGTGGCTTTTGTGGTTGAGCTTCAGAGTTGTCCTTCTCCCTTGTCGTTCTGTTAACTGTTTCAGACTTCGTCATGGTAAAAGTTTAAGAATCATAATTGTGAAAAAGTTTAAAATAGGTGGTGTTTTGAGCCCGTCACAGGCTCAAAATGGAGAGGCTCAATCACCCGTCTAAAGTCACTCTAAGATACAGTATAACCATGCTCTAGAGCTCCACACTGGATCAACACATTTAATTATTTTCCACACTTTCCACACCTAATTTAACTTATATTAGAAATGTTCTCATCGCAAGTGAGAACAGACACTACACATTACATAGAAACTGCAACTATTTCCTCCTAGAACCAGAAAGTAAAAGCTAAGAACCATGACAGATTTTGTAGAAAGTAGAGAATGGTACTTAGCTGCATATTGCCCTGAAGGTGTTCCAACCACAGATCATCTCAAACTCCGCACAGTGTCTCTTTCTCTTCACTCTGATTCAATCCCTGATAATCATCTAGTAGTTGAAACTCTTCTTCTCTCCGTCGACCCTTATCTTCGTGGAAGAATCACTGGCTCCTTAGGAGGCCTTTTCATTTCACAATATCAACTTAACCAGGTAAGTTTTGATTATATTTACTCTAAAGTTTGTTTATATTCATGTACATGCTTATGCATATTAATTGTTGTTTAAGATTACATATTTGTAGGCGATTACAGTATTTGCAGTTGTAAGGGTGATTCGATCGAAGGAATAGAGATGCTTGGAGATCCAAAGACAGGATGAAATGTTTTCATATCTGCAGCTTCAGGTGCTGTTGGTATGAATGCTGGTCAGCTTGCTAAGATTAGAGGATGTAGGGTCATTGGAAGCACTGGCTCTGATGATAAGGTAACATACTGTTTTCCACCACTTACTTTCTTAAAAATCATAATGATGTATTATTTCTTACTAGGGTCTCTTCAATCACTATGTTTTGTTTTTGTTAGGTAAAACTCATCAAAGAAGAATTTGGATACGACGACGGATTCAACTACAATATAGAGACAGATTATGATGCCGCTTTAACAAGTAGAAATTCGTATATTTATCTCTTTCTATATTCCCTTCTTTTTAGATATTGTTAAATAAATCCATGATCGTTCAAACATAAGAAGGAAAAAAATGCAAAATAAACAATTTGTATCTTAAGTTCGTAATTGTTAAATTGTAATTCATAGTGTCAAAACTATGATGTGTCGAATAGTATACAGATTATATTTGTTTTAAATTTAAATAGATTTGATTTAGATTTAAAATAGATAGATTTGATTTAGTAACAAAATATATATTTTGGGCTTTTATAGTTTTTGGGCTTTGAGCTAATCAAAATCTATAAATAGGGAGTAACCCTTAAATTTGTAATTAAGTCAATTAAGTCATTCACAGTATTTTGTAGTTGCAATGTGAATAACAAAGTTTTCTACAGTTTGTGGGCAGAGAGAAACTCTGCAGAAAATAATTGTCTTATTTCTTTTCCATCTCATAATTCATTGTCATTGTGTAGAAATTTATCATAGATATTTGGTGAGTTTCCAACATCTGGTATTAAGAGCTCGGTTTCGATTCAAGGAAAATATCAATCAAGAACGTTTGAGGAAGAAAAAGAATTCACGATGGCAAATTATGAGAATGCAAATTATCCAACAACTCTACCAATTCTGAAAGTAGACAACTATGAGAACTGGTGCAAACAGATGAAAGTTTTATTCATGTGTCAAGGTCTTTGGGATTTTGTAAAAGATGGATTCGAAGCGTTTGGAGAAAACGCTTCAGAAGAAGAAAAGAAGAAACACACAAAAATTGAGAAGCTGAGTTATAAAACACTCTTTATAATTCATCAATGTGTGAGTCCAGTAAAATTTTGAAAAAGTGAGTGATTCAGAATCTGCAAAAGAAGTTTGGGATGTTCTTGAGAAGTCCTTTGGTGGTACAGAAAAGGTGAAATAAGTGAGGTTACAAACTCACAAGAGAACGTATGAATTGTTTCAGATGGAAGATAGTGAAAGTATATATGATTTCTTCACTAGAGTTACAAAACTAGTGAATCAAGGCATGTGGAGAAATAATAACAACAAGAGTTGCTGTTTCCGAAGATCTTGAGATCTTTGGCTCCTAAGTTCGACCACGTGGTGGTGACTATAGAAGAGGGGAAAGACTTATCGAAATTGACAAAGGAAGAGCTTCAAGGGACGCTTGAATCTCATGAACAAAGAATGAATGAAAGAGCTGCAGGCAAGTCGAAGAGTGATCTGGCTTTGCAGGCACATTTAACAAAAGAAACCAAAGACAAAGGAAAATGATTCGACAGAGGTAGAGGCAGCTACAACAAATTGAATGGTAGAGAAAACTAGAACGAAGGAAACATGTCGAATCAAAGAAGATCATATCAAGGCAACCAAAGAGGTGGTGTTGCAAATAGAAGAAGAGGTGGTGGTCGAAAACCTGGTAAGAGTCTTATTCAATGTTACAATTGTCGGAAGTATGGTCACTATTCGAGTGATTGTCCAGAAAAGCGAAAAAATCAAGAAAGTGATGCAAAGTTTGCAAAACATGAAGAAGAAGAGATGATGCTGATGGTCATAACAAGAGATGAAGATAGATTCAAGGACCAATGGTACTTGGATTCAAGATGCTCATCACATATGTCTGGAAGAAAAGACTGGTTTGTCAAAATAAAGCCCTCAATGAAAAATATGGTAAAATTTGTAAATGACAATACTCTAGCAGCTGAAGGTATTGGTGATGTTATGATTATGAGGAAAGATGACAAGAGGCTAATAATTTCCAATGTGTTGTACATATCTGACATGAAGAGTAATTTTCTGAGTATATGGCAGTTGCTCGAAAAGAATTATAAAGTGTCGATCAAAGATAAGATAATGAGAGTCGTCGACACAAATGAAAGATTGATCTTGAAGGCTCCCATGTCTCAAAATAGAACTTTCAAGATCGAACTAAATGTGATGAAGCACAAGTGTCTTTTAACTGCAGTTAGCAGAGATGAATGGATATGGAATTATCGACTAGGCCATCTCCACTTCAGAGACATCAGAGATTTGAAGAGAAGAAATATGGTTTCAGGATTTCCAAAAAATGACATTCCAAACGAGGTATGTGAGGAATGTGTGCAGACGAAGCAACATAAGAATAGCTTCAACAAGGGTGCATGAAGCAGGTCGAAGGTTATTCTTGAAGTCATATACTCTGATGTATGTGGACCAATCCAGGTGGATTCAATGGGAGGTAATAAATACTTTGTTACATTCATATATGATTTCAGTCGAAAGCTGTTGACTTACCTGATCAAGAAGAAAAGTGAAGTGATCGAAGTATTTGCTAAGTTTAAGTCTATGGTCGAAAGACAAAGTGGTCGAAAACTCAAAGTTTTGAGAACTGATGGTGGTGGAGAGTATGTGTCGAAAGACTTCAATAGGTTATGTGAAAAGTAAGGGGTTGTACATGAGATGGTGCCACCGCATGTTCCACAACATAATGGATTTTCAGAAAAAAAGAATTGACCCATCATGAATATGGTGAGAAGTATGTTGAAAGGCAAGAATTTACCTAACAGGTCTTCTCAAGGAAACAATGATTATCAACAGAGAAATTCTTTGAACAGGTGTAATCCTAACAGGTCTTCTCGAGGAAATCTTGGAAGGATTGGCGGAAATGGTTATAATGGCAACGCCTTTATTTGGAACAACAAGAATCATAGTGTTCTCAAACAAAATTTATTTATTATCCATCAGGCACTGGACACTTGACTTCAACAAATGGCAACCAGAAGGTAAGATTGAACACATGTGGCAACTTTCACCACAACCCGGAAATAAACCGGCCAACAAATTTTTTTTCTTAACAATCATAAGAGGAGTAGAAATTTCTTCAACAGAGGTCACAAACAAATCAGTGTCAACAGCATTAACTCCACGACCATATTTGGGCATGGAAGCAGTTACAACATTCGGCTTTTCTGGAGCATCGAACTCTATCTCCTTGGCTTCGAGCAGGTCTTATACTTTGTTTCTTAGAGCCCATCAATCATTTGTATCGTGGCCAGGACTCTCAGGATGGTAGGCGCACCGCACGTTGGGATTGTATCTAGGAGATGTAGTATTTGGATTCTTGGGAGCCTCTCTCAAGGTCGCCAAGTTGGATCTCAGCAGGTGAGGTAACACTTCAGCCAATGTCATGCTAATGCGGGTAAACTGCCGCTGGGGTCTTTCCACCCTTTCTTGATTGTTGCATTGTGAAGCAACTGCGGGTCTTGGTATCACTACAGCATTTACCGTTTGACGGTGTTCAGATCTGCTTTGGCCCCTCGGGCTATAGACCGCACTAGCTTCCTTCTTATCAGCAAAATGTTTCTTTACCGAACTCGAAGAGGCATCCTTCTGTATTTTACCACTTCGAGTTCCAGCTTCTACTCTTTCTCCAGTTAAAATCAGCTCAGTGAAACCAGATGACGAACTGTCGATTAAGTGATTGAAAAATGGACCAGACAGCGTACCAAGGAACATATCCACCAACTCCCTATCAGACAAAGGGGGTTGAACTCTACCAGCCAAGTCTCTCCATTTTTTAGCATAATCTTTAAAACCTTCACCTGCACCCATGGACATACTCTAGAGCTGAGTACGAGTGGGAGCAAGGTCGACATTATACTGATACTGCTTGTAGAAAGCAGCAACAAGATCTTCCCAATTTCGGACATTGGCTCTTTCCAACTGGTAGAACCATTCAAGCTAAGTCCACGACAGACTATCTTGAAAGAAGTGCACCCACAAATTTCTATCAGCGGTGTGGGGTTGAATCTTCCTGACATATGAGCGGAGATGGAGTTTTGGGCAGGACACTCCATCGTACTTGACAAAAACGGAGCTTTAAAATTCTGAGAGATGACCACTCCCGATACCAGTCCCAATTCTCCAAAATCCAAACTAGGTATCTTCTGAACTTCCATAACACTCAGACGGTCTTCTAGCTGCCTGTACCTATCCTCAGCAGGAGGATATTTCTCATCATCAAAGTCAGTGTCATTGTCAGAGACCGCAGGATTAGGGTCCTTTTCCCCTTCTTGGTTCTCCCCTTCCTTAGATGAAGAGGTCAGATCAGTTTGTTGTTTCAAACTTTCTCCAAATCTTCTGCCCATATTCAGAATACTAGTCTTCTTCTTCTTCTTCTCTTTCAGAATGAGGGCTTTCAGATCCTCTTGCCCCTTTGCCATACTGATGAACATCTGTTGGAACTGGGCATTCTGCGCCTATAGATCTTTGATGACTTGATCGGAAGACATTTCTGCATGGAATAAACAACGAAGAAGATGAGAAACCTGTAGTGGTACCTGTACTGATGTGTATGATAATGGGATGCACATGTAATGATTTCAAAGACTTTGGGAAATTTAAATTTGCAAACCAAAATAAATAAAACTTTATTAGCTTAACTTTGAAGGTTCAAAATTCCTTTAAGGCGTTACAAAATAAGTAAATAAAACAAATCTAAACTAGAAAAGAAAAGTCAAAAGTCCCAAGGACGCTTTCTCTTTGTGCTGATATAATCATTGAGCACTCTTTCTTCCTCGAGCTGCCTGGTGAGCTTTAAAACCTTCCTCTCTTGCTCATGGAACTGTTCCGTGTAAGCATCCCGCTCATTCTTCAACTGAATCCAAGACCTCTGTAACTCCCCAAGATTAATGGGCATGTAAGGATAGAGAATTGTGTAAGGAATGTCGTCTTCAGTAGTGGGATCCACAATCACTGGTAATACAGCCACATAAGGCATCATAAGCTTCTGGGCACGAGCTCGGACCCATTGGAGGTAAGGCTGCATAGGAAGGGAAGTCTTCGGTCCCAACTCTTTGGGGTCAGATCTGTTTACCATACCCCAAGCTCGTATGAACCTCCGACGATGCTTCTTAACATCATCCTTATAGTTGAATACAATGTCCTCGAGAAGTAACTCATGGGGACCATCCCTTCGAGCACAACCAAATTGTCGCAAAGCTAGACAAGGATTGTAAGTTATGCCCCCTCTGATACCAAGTAATGGGACATTAGGGTACCCCCCATAACGGTCAATAACA